GCAACCACAACTATCTTGGTGGCTGCATCAGCTAGTTCATTGCCAGTGGAAAGAGGGCTGGGTAGGCCAGAATGAGCTCGAATATGACCCAGGAAGAAAGGGACTGTTCTCTCACGAATAAGTTGTTGGCACTGTTGAAAAAGATTTGCGGCTTCAGAGGCATGTTTGATAAAGGGAACAGTTTCAAGCAGGGGAATAGAGTGGTCGAGCTTGGCACTGTCGGTGCATATGTTGAAGGGTTTTTGTGGGAAAAATAGTGAAAACAGCTATTAAGGCTGAAAGTTCCACTAATTGTGCAGAGGCAAGATTAGTTTGGAAGCGGGTTGTCTGCTTCTCAAGGGCATAGGCAGCCATCCCAGAGGAGGAGCCATCCGTAAAAACTAACAAGGCATCAGGTAGAGGCTTTAGGCTAGTAAGGCAAGGGAAAGTGAAGGCATGTAATTTACAAAACTGGAGGAGCCTGTCAGGTGGGTAATGATTGTCTATGGTACCTGAAAAACTGGCATAAGCGATTAGCCATGCATCTGAATTTTGAAGGAGCCAATCTATTTGTTCTATGGTATAAGGCAGAATGATATGGGAGGGCTCGATCCCAAAGTAGGTGTGGCTCTCCTTGCGGCCTGAAATAAGAAGGTCTGCAACTGCATTAAAATAAGGGTGTAAAACCTTTTTAGGAGAGACAGACAAATGGAGCCACATAAGGGGGTTATGAGGTTGTTGCCAAAGAAGGCCGGTGAGAGAGAAGGTTGTGCAAAAAATGATGAGCCATAAAGGCCTGGCATAATTCATCCTGGTGATAAATTGTTGAGCTATTGCTTTTTCTACCTTCGTAATGGCTGCTCTGGCCTCTTGTGAGAGTATTCTGGGGGATCTTGGGTCTGGATTGCCTTTGAGAATGTCAAACAAGGGCTTAAGTTCTCCTGTGGTTAATTTTAAGTATGGGCGGAGCCAATTAATGTCGCGTAATAGTTTTTGAAAGTCATTTAATGTTTGAAAGTGATTGGTCCGAAGGACAGCCTTTTTAGTGGATATATTAGGACCATCAAGCTGAAAACCCAAGTAAAAGTATGGGTCTTGAAGCTGTATTTTTTCTGGTGCTATCTGGAGACCTGTAGCAGCGAGGTCGTGCTGAAGCTGCATATAGCACTTTAGTATCGCCCCTCCATCCTGGCCAGCAATAAGGATATCATCCATGTAATGGGTGATATACATGGAGGGCCATGAAGATCTGATTTTTTGTAAGGCTGTAGCAACAAACTTTTGGCACAAGGTGGGGCTATTGGCCATCCCTTGGGGTAAAACCTTCCATTCACACCTCTCATCAGGCATTTTAATGTTGGTGGAAGGTACAGAGAAAGCAAATTTTTCACAATCTTGGGGTTGTAGAGGGGTAGAAAAAAAAAATCTCCTGTGGGCATAAGGGAATGGTGAAGAAGCAATCCTTAAGATCTATAACAATTTTGAGATAGCCTTGAGGAATAGCCACTGGTGAGGGCAAGCCAGGTTGTAGGGCTCCCATGAGTACCACAGTGGCATTAACTGCTCTTAAGTCTTGAAGTAACCTCCATCTACCAGATTTCTTTTTTATGACAAAGATGGGCGTATTCCAAGGTGAATGAGATTCCTCTATGTGTCCTAGTTTAAGTTGTTCCTGCACCAACTGCGTTGTGGCAGTTAACTTTTCTAGGTAAAGCAGCCATTGATCTACCCAAAAAGGATCATTAGATTTCCAAGTTATGGTATCCACAGAGTTTGAGGGTGCAGGTTTGTCAATGGTCACAGTTAAAAATTTCCCAGGCCACATTTATCAAATTGTCCACTGGGTTGGATAAGTGTGGTTATCCCCTCTCCTGATTTACCTAAGCCTTTTCCTGGGCAATAATTTTGAGCTAGCATTTGGGCAGTGACGGTGTCATTAGGACTACACATCATTACTCCCATTTGGGTTAGGAGGTCTCATCCCTATAGATTAACCGGTATCTGAGGCACAATGAAAGGCTTAATTTGGCATGAATTGCCTGCAGTGTCCTTCCAGGTGAGAATTTTCGAGCTTTGTTTGGGATTTAAGCTTTGTCCTATTCCAGTTAGATTAGTTACAGTATCAGTAGTAGGCCAGCTGGAGGGCCAAGCATCAGCAATAATAGTAACATCTGCACTAGTGTCAATGAGTCCTTCAAATTTCTTTCCGTCTAGCCACAATGTTAGGTTTGGCTTTTTGTGGGTGATGGTCTGGACCCAATAGGCATCTGAAGAGCCAAAACTATGGGAGGTGTGGGCATGGGGGAAAACTGGATTTGTTCCTATGGCTAGGAGAATCAATACAAGTTGGCCAAGCCTATCTCCAGGGCGACGGGGACAATAATGTTCTCAGATTTTATTAGAATTTTAATTTCTCCTATATAATCTGAATCAAGTACCCCTGGTATAACTGTCAGGCCTCTAAGGGCTGAGCTACCTCTTCCTAGAATCAGACCACAAGTGCCTGGAGGCACACCTGTCTTATTATTTGAATTCCCATTTCCGGGGTTAGTATTGTGTGGGAGGTGGAACTGAGGTCCAGTCCTGCGCTTCCGGGCGTTGCTCAGCAGAGGTCTGAAACGGATTGTTGTTGTTTGTGGGGATGAAATTGATTGCCCCAATTATTTGTGTCGGGACTTGAGGCTGGCCCCTCCACCCGTTTCCCTGATGGGGAGGCAAGGTATTGCCCTGAAAATCAGTTTTGGACTTGCACTCATTTGCCCAATGCCTTCCTCACCTGGATCTAGGGCAAAGCCCTGGAGGTCTATCAGAGCTATTATTGTTTTTTTTTCTGACCAGGGGGTGACTTGCAATCTCTAGAGAAATGGCCGGGCTTTCCACATTTAAAGCATCCCCTTGTAATAGGCCATTTTCTGTCATTTAAGAAGTCCTTCACTGTTTTACTAAGTGCAGCTGCCATGGCAAGACCCTGTTGATAGGAGGAGCCAATCTCAGTGCAAAGTCGCATGTATCCATCTAAGTTAGTTTTCTTTTTATGAGGGCGAATGGCAGCCTGACAGGTGGGAATAGCATTTTCAAATGCTAGTTGCTTTAGGATGAGCTCAATACCGCCCTTGATACTACCAAAAAGCCTAGTAGCAGCGGTGGATAAGAGATGAACAAAATCAGCAAAAGGCTCATCAGGACCTTGTTTAATGGAAGTAAGAGAGACCCCTGAGTCACCCTTTGCAGGGAGTTTTTTCCAGGCCTTAATGGCTGCTGTCTGGATCTGAGCAAAAAGCCCAGGTGGATAATTCATTTGGGTGTCATTGGAATCATACTCTCCCTCACCCATTAACATATCAAAGGTCCAGTCATCATTAATCGTCTTAATGTTTTTCTTAGCAGTTTCTTTACAGGCGTCAAAATATTCTGATCTCCATAAAAGGAAATCCCCCCCATGAAGGAGAGCCTTGGCAAGGGTATGCCAATCTGAGGGAGTTAACCATTGCTCTGCCAGTCCCTCAAGGAGGGTAATGGTATAAGGGGCCATGGCACCATACTGTGACACCGCAGCTTTTAACTCTTTCAAGTCTGAGAGCTTGAAGGGGTTATGTTGTCTGATGGGCTCGTCATCATCTCCACCACCCTTTATAATTTCTAAAACTGGAAAGTCTTTAAGAGCAGAGGGCGCGGTAGTGGACAAACCGCATGAACGGCTGACTATGGGGGTCTCAGTTGTGGTGGTTACGGGGCCTGAGAACAAATCTTGGACTGTCAGGCTCTGGAGTTCAGCGACCAATGCGCGTGACAGCGCTCTGGCGCATTGCTGTAAACGGTCAATTTCTGCTTTTAAATGCTCAATGGGAGGAAAAACTGGGAAAGCCTCAAGGGCTGTCAGAGTTGATGGAATAGCATAAGGAGGGGGCAGGGGAAGAGCCTCAGAGGGGGCCATAGGCGCGGCATCAGGCTGGAGCAGCGCGTCTGGAGTTCAGCGACCAATGCGCGTGACAGCGCTCTGGCGCATTGCTGTAAACGGTCAATTTCTGCTTTTAAATGCTCAATGGGAGGAAAAACTGGGAAAGCCTCAAGGGCTGTCAGAGTTGATGGAATAGCATAAGGAGGGGGCAGGGGAAGAGCCTCAGAGGGGGCCATAGGCGCGGCATCAGGCTGGAGCAGCGCGTTGTCAGAACCGTTCTTAGGATTTGGGTCTGACTTGTTATAATCAAGATCTGAACTTTCCGAGTGGGTCTTAGATTGTCTAGCTGAATCCTCCTCATTGCTATCAAGGGAAATAAGGTCAACTTCTTCTGCAGGGACTTTACTAGCTTTTGGGCAGGTGCTATTTTGTAACAGATCCTCTGCCTGTTTTATAGCCCCCTCGGTGGGTGCTTCCTTTCTGTCTACTAATTCTTTTATTAAATTCCAATATGAAAAGGCTGTGACCAGAATCTTATCCGGACCAAAAACTTTATAGTAATCCTCTAATGCACTTCCTACTCTCTTCCATCTTTTAATGTCTATCAAGCCCTCCTGGGGAAACCAGGGGCAAATTTTTTTAACAAAATCAAAATAATGAAACAAATCCATAGTCTTAACCTTTACTCCCAGTGTCTTTAAAGCATCCTTTAACTGCTTAACATAAAGCTCATGCTGACTCAATTCTTGCCCCATGGTCAGACGTTTCCACTTACTTTCGGTTTCAGCAGAGCCAGGTTCCCACAGAGACTCCGATGTGTCTCAAAATTTGTCAAACGCTTTCCTTTTCACGACGTCTCCCTCACTGCTGCCTCAGTATCCAAGCCCCACATTGGGCGCCAGATGTCCCGGCCTGCGGGACTTTCAACGGGGTATCTGGAGTGAGGAGTGGGGATTGAATGGAGCAAGGGACACAGAGAATGGAGACAAGACAGTGCTCTGATCAAGTCTTGTTTATTGAATGTCTGCACAAAGCTTTTATAGGGAAGCAGAGGGCAGAAGAAGCTGGGCGGGTAAGTTCTGCTGTTTACCGCACATTCCACAGCCAGACCATGAGGCAGGATGTTTTTACAGGATGAGGAAATTTACAAAGTTGAGGCAGAAAAACATGTTTTTCACAAAGCCATCGCTACTCTTAAAAGGAAGTCAGTGGCTGAAACTGTAAACAGCTTGCTTTACAGATAATAGTTACTATTTCTGGGTAGGGGGCCCACGGCTCCCTACAACGAAGAATGTACTACTACAAGACCCATGCAAAGTCACACAAAAACCCAGCATAGATATTGGGGAAATGAACAGGAGGCCTCAACCTTAGGTGGGGAACTATTGGCAGCTGATCACTGCTAGGTGAGGGAGCATTGATCTTCTTTAAGGAAGTGACTCTAGATTGACTGACTAGACTCCAGTAGATGAACTCATACCAAGGGACACCTAGGGACACAAACTTGACTGGACAGGCTTTAACATATATGATATAATGCATGAAATCCTGTCTGTTTTAGGCTATATTTTAGATGAATGTAAAATCATTCACAAATGGCTGTTTGTGAGGAGAGATCTACCAAGAAACTGGATATTTTCTGTCTTCCACCTCTGATGAAAAGTAAAATAGCACACAGAAAACTCTTGGGCACGTTTTATTCATTGATAAAAATAGAAGGAACCAGAAAATCTTTCACCTAACTCTCCATAATGTAAATGAAAAAAATTTCCCAAAATAATGATCTGAGTTTACTTTGATGGTGTTAAAGAGTAGTCATTAGTTTATGATAAACCACAAACTTTGTAAGAAATTGTGTCATGTTTTATTGTCTGACCACCAGTTACCCATGTAAAAGGAAAGGCCTCTTCTTTTGGAAATCAGGTCTAAAAAGAATTAATGACAGAGATTTCTTTTAGCAGAGTTCCTTAAGATACTACATATCCTTTGAATATGTAGGCAGTTTTGGCTATACGAACATTCTTTTTTAAGGTACATTTTTACTGTTTAATTAAATTTATGCTTGTGTGTCTGTCGGCATATGAGTTCAGGTGCTTGATGACGCCAGAGGAGATGTTGGGATTCCTTGAAGCTAGAGTTACATGGGATTATGAGCTGCCTAGGTTGGATGGTGGGAAATGAATGCAAGTCTTCTGCAGGGACAGTAAGCATTATTAGTCACTGAGACATCTCTCCGGTCCCAAACTGCATATTCTTACTGGGTATTTTTTCTTAGCATGCTTAAGTGAGATAGAAAATGGCTAATAATTGGGGAAACCATGATGGAAGGGTTAGAAAATGCAAGAGATAAATAATGCCTAGCAAATTTTAAAAAGCAGAGGGAACCATATTAGTCCAACAACCTACTGATAAATTATACAGACCAGATCAAGAAATAATATGTCTAGGCAAGGTTTATTGAGAACAATTGGTTTTCTGCCCAAGATTTAGCTACATGGCACACAGAAATTAAAAGTACCAGACAGGTGGAACTAACCTTCTTGGATGTTTAACAGACATAGTTTGAGGTCCATACTAATTTGGTCAGAGGGACATAAAGGACAATGTTTTCTCCTTGCCCTCCTATGTTGACTAGTTCCAGGGGACTATAAGCATCTCTCAAAATGTCCTGTAACTGTGGTGAGTCACCTGTATTCTTGCTTAAGGAGGCCGTGGGGACCCCACAAAATGGACTTGAACCAGTATCCAGTCTACAAAGAGGAAGGTCAACACAGAGGAACCATTTCCTCCATGCTTCCAAGTGAAGCCAGCCATGATCAAGTAGGACCTTTGACTTATCTTCCCATAGACAGAACTGGTAAAAGAAAGGAACCAGGGGATCCTGCCAAGCTCATGTTTTCCCTGAAGAACAGATCCTCAAACAGCCTTAAGAGTAAAAATAAATTGGTTTACCTGGGCCAACTTTATGGCCTTAAACACCCCAAAGGGAAAGTATAACCAAAGATTAAAGTGGCCAATATAATTTTTTAAGAATCCATATATTTAGCTAAAGGCTACATAACAAGAAACAATGCCAGATAGGAGGTACCTTCTTTTGAGTTGTTGGCCAGGGTGGCCCAAGAGACTACCAAATAGTAACCTAGCATAGAACTGGGAAAATGAATAGCAGACCCCAATCTTATCCAAAGTAATATTGACAACTGATTACTGCTAGATGAGAAACAGCTGACTCTCCTAAAACAAAGACCTCTAGATAGGCTGACTAGATTCACCAGAAGGGCAAGTAGTGGGGAATGGCTGGGGGTGCCGAC